AGTGTGGCAGCTGCCGAGGAAGTGACTAATGAGCCCTCCCGGGAGCAATTCAGGACATCATACAAGGAAACTTCTCTCAAAAAAAAAAAAGAAAGAAAGAAAGAAACTTATCTCACTCAAAATTAATAAGTTAACACTATCTAATTAGAGAGAATGTGCTGAGCTCCCTGGCTTTCTGGGAAGGTGGTTCTGAGGTGTGGCAGGTAGCTAGCTTGGAGACGGTCCACATGGCATCATTCGGACCAGCAGCCCCAAGGCGGGCTGAGAACCTGCCCTCTCTGGTCTCTCGTCCACCTGCTAGCTCACAGACATGCAAAACATCAGAGCTGAATGCGCCTGGGAAAGCTTCTCATTCAAATGGCTCCTTTTATAGACAGAACTGAGGCCCAGAGAAGTTAAGTCCCTCCGTTACGATCACACAGCAACAGAGCCCGGACCAGCGAGAGCCAGCCAGCCTTTGGAAGCCCAGTCCAGACCATTTACCGCCATACAATGACATTGTCCAGACTCCCCTGTGTGGATTCCTCAAGCTCTCATGAGGCCACTGGGCGTGATGTTTCTCTGCATGTTCTATCTTTACCTCAGGCCCTAAGAGAGGTCCTTCCCTCACTCCTTAGAGCCAAGTCATGGCCCTCATCTCTGGTCCAAGAGCCAACTCCCACAGGCAGCCTTCCAGGATTGTTTTACCTCATCCATTTTATTTGCTAGTTTACTTATTAATTCCATGTCCGAAGACCGAATTCCATGGTTAAGACCTCAGGCTCTGGCCCTAGCCTGTTTGGCTCAGTGGATAGAGCATCAGCCTGCAGACTGAAGGGTCTCAGGTTCGATTCTGGTCAAGAGCACATGCTCGGGTTGTGTGCTTGATCCCCAGTAGAGGGCATGCAGGATGCAGCCAATCAATGATTCTCTCTCTCACTATCTATCTCTCTCTCTCTCTCCTCTCTCCTCTCTCGCTCCCTTCCTCTCTGAAATCAATAAAAATATGTTTTAAAAAAAGAGCTCGGGCTCGAGTCAGACTGCCTGGCTTAAGCGTTGTCCCTCTCATGTGCCTGGGCAACACTTGGCCTCTGGGCCTTGATCTCCTTTTCTTTAAAGTAAGAACGATACAAACACGTGCCTCAGAGTGAGGAGTGAATAACACCCCGTGCAGCACTGAGCGGCACCTAGCCAAGAGCAAGCACTGGAGTTAGCCAGTTCGTGTATAGTAACAACTTACAATTTGTCCTGGAGAAGAAATAAGATCCAGGTCCTGCCGGAGACCTGGGCGGTGTGGTTAAGAGCAAAAGTAGGAAGTCTGTATGATGGGATTTCAGAGGCGGGGCCCTAACATGGGTGGGGAGGGGCAGGAACGGTTTTCTGTGGGAGCTGCGGCTGAGTGTGAGAGACGGGAGCGCGGGGAAGAACCAGCACGCATGTCTAAGGAGGCACAGGTGTGATACAGAGAGGGGTGGGGAGGGCCGTGGGGAGGGGCCAGGGCAGGACACGCAGGCTTCCTGTGCCACGGAGGAGCCGGGGTTGGGCCTGAGAGAAAAGGGAGCCTGGGGGAGGGCTGTCAGCCAGGGGCACGGTCAGGCGGGTGTGATTAGACCAGGCGGGGTTCTGTGGACTGTGTTTGCCTGGCTCTCCCTCAGCAAGGAGCGACTGGCCTGGGTTGCTCTATCGTGAATAGTCAGGGAATCTGCTCTAACCAGGCCAGTGCCAAAAGCCATTCCCAGCGACCATATCCTGTGAACCACAAGTATTGCCAGCCACTGAGAGGCGCCTCACCCGCACGATAGGATACGCTCAGAGACAACGCTGAACCCTGCGACGGCAGACTGTCACACTCACTTCAGCGCCTCTAGGCGCAGAATGCACAGTTAGCAAGTGTTAGATGAATGCCCACCCATGATCTGAAACTTCTCTGCGCATCCCTGAGGCCCTTGAGGGACCACCAGCCCCGGACCCAGTACCCAGCTGGGTGTGCACGGCCCAGGCCCAGGGTTGTAAAGAAAGGGGGTCAGATTGGCCGAGTTTGTCATGTTGTTGTTTGCTTTTTAGTTTTTTCCACATATTGTTGTTTGCTTCTTGAATTTTTCTTTTTGTTTTTTGTTTGTTATTTGTTGTTGTTGTTAATCCTCACCCGAGGATATTTTTCCATTGATTTTTAGGGAGAGAGGAAGAAAGAGGGAAAGACAGAAACATCGACATGAAAGAAACACATCAATTGGTTGCCTCCTGCATGAGCCCCGACCAGGGCCCAGGCTGGGGAGGAGCCTGTATGTGCCCTTGACTGGAATCGAACCCAGGACCCTTTGGTCCGAAGGCCAACGCTCTATCCACTGAGCCAAACTGGCTGGGGCTGCTTCTTGAATTGTTGAATATAAATGGATGAATTAGGATTCCAAAGACCAGCCTTCCAGCTCCTCCTCCGCCAGGGTGAGCTGGGGAACCTCAGAGCCTCCAGCTGCAGTACGTGAGCCTAGGGCAGCGGTTCTCAACCTGTGGGTGGCAACACCTTTGGCAGTCGAACAACCCTTTCACAGGGGTCGCCTAAGACCATCCTGCATATCAGATAATTTACATTATGATTCATAACAGTAGCAACATTACAGTTGTGAAGTAGCAACGAAAATAACTTTATGGTTGGGTCACAACATGAGGAACTGTATTTAAAGGGCCAGAAGGTTGAGAACCACTGGCCTAGGCCCTCTGGTGTGACTGGTGACTTGCGTGCTGACTGGCTTGAAAACACTGTCTGTAATCCCGTGTCTATTGAACAGCTTTCCTCCTTAGCCTCTCAGGCTTGATGTGACCAAAGCCCAAGGGCGTAGGCTTCATAGTCAGACCTCGGTAGCTGTGGGAAAATCACAGCGCCTATAAAAAGGGGTAATTCGGCCTGCCCTGATTGTTCAGCAAAGCCTATAAAAAATGTAACTGGCCGGTTTGGCTCACTGGATAGAGCGTCGGCCTGCGGACTGAAGGGTCCCAGGTTCGATTCCGGTCAAGGGCATGTACCTTGGTTGAGGGCACATCCCCAGTAGGAGGTGTGCAGGAGGCAGCTGATCGGTGTTAAACTCTCTATCCCTCTCCCTTCCTCTCTGTAAAAAATCAATAATATATATTTTATATTGTATTTGTTCCCGTTTTGTTTTTTTACTTCAAAATAAGATATGCGCAGTGTGCATAGGAATTTGTTCATAGTTTTTTTTTTAAACTATAGTCCGGCCCTCCAACGGTCTGAGGGAAAGTGAACTGGCCCCCTGTTTAAAAAGTTGGAGGACCCCTGCTCCAGGCAAAACATAAGCCCGCTGAGCTTCTCTCTCGCGTTTGTAAAGTGAGGAGGGATAACACCCACTTTATAGGACGCCAAGCATTAGTGCAGTTAAAATGCCGAGCGCAGACGTTCACACCAGGGGCAGGTCTTCAAGACGACCCCCGCCTGCCGCTGTCTCCTGGCACTGAAGTGACTGAGCATCAGGGTCAACTTGGCAAAGAATCAAAACTCAACAATCCCAGCGTCAGTTGGGAACTAACTTCCAATTTCCTGTCTCCGTCACTTCCCACTCCCAACCTGGGCCCCAAGTGTCAGTCCATCCAACCCCCTGCAGAGAAGGCCCCTCAAATGGAAAGTGGGAGCTGCCACCGTGGATGAGCGCCCGGGACAGTCTCAGCCCAGCCAGGCTGACTGAGCATGGACCTCACACGCAGAACTGGGCACGTGCACGTCAGCGTTCCCAACCAGCTGCTCCGGAGACAGGGACCGTGGCTGCTCCTGCATCTCCCTCCTGGCTGGAGGCCGAAGTCTGCCCGGGAGTCGGGCTGGAGTAGCGCAGGCTGGCTTCCCTCCTTTTCCATCACTTTGACCAGAATTATTCATGAAATCTATGCCAAGGACTGAACTCTGATACATTCCCACTGAACACCCCTCACCCAGGCAGTTCATTCGTTCTCTACTGAAACCTGAACCCAATTACACAGCAGAAAAGACAAGGACCTGGGGGCGGATGCGTTCCAGGCGCTCAGAGGGCATTCCCTTGGGCCACCCTCTCCCCCAAACACCTGTCCCGCCCTATGTCAGTGGTTCTCAACCTTCCTAATGCCATGACCCTTTAATACAGTTCCTCATGTTGTGGTGACCCCCAACCATAAAATTATTTTCATTGCTACCTCATAACTATAATTTTGCTACTGTTATGAATCATAATGTAAATATCTGATATGCAGGATGTATTTTCATTGTTACAAATTGAACATAATTAAAGCATAGTGATTAATCACAAAAACAATATGTAATTATATGTGTTTTCCTATGGTCTTAGGCGACCCCTGTGAAAGGGTCGTTCGACCTCCAAAGGGGTCGCGACCCACAGGTTGAGAACCGCAGCTCTATATGAAACCAGGCCCTGAACACCTCACTGGACACCAGCCCTGCTAAATGGGCTCTCACCACTCACGCCTGCTCCTTCAGAGTAGCCGCCTCTTCATAACTTGGGGCACGTGTCTTATGGGGTGCTCCGGGAGCACTGAGGGGATGAGCCCCGCTGCTGGTGAGGATGATGGATAGGGAGCTTTGGAAACAACTTCAGACCCAGCGCTTACTAGCATTGTGCCCTCGGGCCAGAGAACAGATCTGGGGTTACTCCCTCATCCGGAAAACGCAGATCCCATGAGCCTGCAAGGGTTCTGTGAGGGTTAACTCAAAGTTCAAGAGCACACACTAGTACAGCACTCTTATTGGCTGAATGTGAGCCTCCTCCCTGCTGTTCAACACCCCACCCAACCCTCTCCCACTGCTCAGCTTTCAGGATGTCAGAACAGAGTTCTTCAGGCGTGGCGGGCCGGGATGCCCTCCAGGATGGCCCTCCTGAGCTGGCCACTCCTCAGGCCCGCAATCTGTGGGAGCCCCAAACCCAGGCCTCCAGGTCTCTAGTTCATTCCATCACGGTGGGATTCCCTTCCACCGGGGGAGTCTGGGCCTAACCAATGAGCCTTACTGACAAAGCAACAGGCTGACGCTTGGTTGGAAGATGTTTAATTTGTGCTGTCCACGCTGGACACCGAAGTGGTGCCAGCCCCTGAGAGCACCCCTCCTCCCCCGCAAAGGGAGGATCGCGAGAGAATGAACATTCGGCGCAGGGAGAAAAGAAAGAGCCGTGGAGACCGCTGACCACTTCTCTTCCACTCACAACAGGAGGGGCAGGTGGAGGGTGAAGGCAACAAAGAGGGGGGTGATGTGATTACACCCGAGGCATTTCTGTCGACTTTCACTGCAGGAGAGGGAGCCGGGACAAGGCTGTGCTCAGGGTGCTGGCTGGTGAGGCTGAGGGAGAAGCTGACAGCCAGAGGCGGGGCAGCAGCGCCCTTATTGCTTCCTGTGGGAGGTGGGGTGCTGTGGAAAGCCAGTCCCCGCCAGGTGGGGGCAGCAGAGACACCAGGAGGAGGGCAGCCAGCTGGGCAGCCAGCTGGCCATCCTTGCCCCTGCTGGGGCCCCAAACCCACCACTGAGCCCACCATTCCCACCCCCAGGTGACCGCTCTCCGTGTGCTGTTCAGAGTCATGTTCTGCTCGGGAGAAGCAGACGCTGGACTTCCGTCTCCTGTCCTGACGCACAGGTACACGCATTTAGGAGGCAAGCAGGGAGGGGAAAGGGCCACAGTGACGTGTCCAGCCTTACAATTTTCTCCTGGGGTGTGAGCAAAAGGAAGAGCGACCCGGACAGTCTCTCCAGAGGCAGTTCCAAGCGGCGTGCGTCACACTGAGCCCGACTCTGCCCGCCTCTGAGTCACTTAAGGCTCAAGTCCACAAGAATCAGAGTCACCAGAAAGGACCCGAAGACACGGGGGCACGAGCTGAGGATCACTGGCTCTGGCGCCGGAGCGATGAGGTGCTCACAGTCGCACTTGGCGGGCTCCGGGGAGGGAGGCCAGGCCAGCACCCCCCCAGGCTGGGCTCGGACTCTCCTGTGCTGGGAAGGTTCCCTCTCAGGTTCAAGTGTGAGTTCTGGACGGCTCCCCGACTCCCTCCCTCAGTCATACCTGGAGATAGCAGCTGCCCCTCCCCTCCCCTCCCCGCCATACTCCTGTAAGGCCTTGAGATAAAACCCCTGAAAGGGGAGAGCTCCCTTTCATGTGTAACCGTGGGGCTTCGAGACTGTCAGCTGTTGTACAAGGGAATCACCCGGGTGATCTCCTGCCGGCAGATGGGGCACTTCTTGGGCTCTGGCAACGCCTGGTAGCACTCGGTGCAGGCACACACGTGCCCGCACTCCAGGAACACGCAGGACTTGAAGTTGCTCAGACACACGACACAGGTGCTCTTCAGGCTCTCCCGGTCCTCGGGCTTGGCTTGGCTCAGCAGCTGGGCCTCGTGCTCCCGGAACTCCTTCTCCATCTGCTTGAGGCGCAGGCGCTCCTGCCACTGCAGGTACTGCCTCCGGAGGATGAAGAAGAGGGCCGCGCACGCGGCAAAGCCAAACACCAGCGTCAGGACCTTCCAGAGCCTGACGCTCGACTCCTGCCTCTGCAGCAGGCTGTCGAAGTCCTGGCTGCTCAGATAGTACTGCATGCCCTGCTTGGGGGGCTGCAGGCGGACCGAGCTGTTGTCCAGGACCAGTTCACCCACCCCCGTGAGGGTGGCCCCAACCTTCAGCATCTCCTCGGTCTCCTGGACGCCCTTGGGCCGCTCCCCGCTGATGTAGTGGCCGATGGCATCAGTGAAGGACTGGATCGAGGGGTGGAACTTCTCATACACCGTCTCCAGGCCCAGATCCACGGAGTCCAGCGGCTTCAGCACCCGCACGGCCACACCCACGCCCTCCTCGTGGGGGACCAGGTCAAAGGGCACCGTGTTGGTCCTCTGGTGAATGATCTTTGAATAGTCATTCCTAAAACAGAAGAGAACACAAGATAAAAGGACAAGCAAACACCTCACGCCCAGGAAGAGATGGAGGTCGCATACATGCCAGAGGACAGGGTGAAATCTGACGCAGCTAAGAAGAGGACAACAGAAATCAATATTATCCAAGTGCCTCAATTTGTTAGGTTCTCAGGCGATCATTGGGCAACAAATACCATCACAGATCACCTCTACCATCTATTTCCTTTAGCAACTTTAAAATAAATATCCAATTTTTTAAAAAATTAAAAACAGCCCTAACCGGTTTGGCTCAGTGGATAGAGCGTCAGCCTGCAGACTCAAGGGTCCCAGGTTCGATTCTGGTCAAGGGCATGTACCTTGGTTGCAAGCACATCCCCAGCAGGGAGTGTGCAGGAGGCAACTGATCAATGTTTCTCTCTCATGAATGTTTCTAACTCTCTATCCCTCACCCTTCCTCTCAGTAAAAAAAATCAATAAAATATATATATATATTTAAATTAAAAACAGAACTACCAGATGATCCAGTAATCTCACTTCTGGGTAGTGAACTGAAATCAGGATCTCGAAGAGAGATCTACTCGCCCATGCTCACGACAGCATTGTTCACGACAGCCAAACATGGAGGCAGCCTACGTGTCCATCGACGGATGCATGAAGAATGCCACACACACACACAGAGGAATATTATTCAGCATAAAAAGAAGGAAATCCTGCCCACCAGTGTGGCTCAGTGGTTGAGCACCGACCTATGACCCAGGAGGTCATGGTTCGATTCCCAGTCAGGGCACATGCCCAGGTTGAGGGCTTGATCCCCTGTGTGGTGTGTGCAGGAGGTAGTCAATCAATGATTCTCTCTCATCACTGATGTTGCTGTATCTCTCCCCCTCTCCCTTCCTCTCTGAAATCAATAAACTTTTTTTTTAAAGAAGGAAATCCTGCCACACACAAGATGGATGAACCTGGAGAGCACTATGCTAAGCAAACTAGGCCACTCACAGAAGGTCAAACTCTGCGTAATTCCATTTATATGAGGTATCTAAAACAGTCAAACTTACAGAAGCAGAAAGCAGAATGGTGGCTGCCAAGGGCTAGGGGCAGGGGAAGAAAAGGGACGCTGCTATTGAATGGGTACAAAGTTTCAGACACACAAGATGAACCAATTCTAGAGATCTGCTGTACAACTGTATGCCTCTAATTAACAAAACGGTACCGTTACCCTTAAAAGTTTGTTAAAAGGGGCCCAGGCTGGTATGGCTCAAGTGGCTGAGCCTAGACCTGTGGGCCGGGAGGTCGTGGTCAATTCCTGGTGAGGGCACATGCCTGGGTTACAGGCTCGATCCTCAGTGGGGGCGTGCAGGAGGCAGCCAACTGGTGACTCTCTCTCATCATTGATGTTTCTCTTTCTCTCTTTCTCTCCTTTTCTCTCTGAGATCAATAAAAATACTTTTTTTAAGTTTGTTAAGAGGGTAGATCTTGTGAAGTGTTCTTACTACAACAAAAAAATAAAATAAAGTACAAAACAAAAACCCACTAGGGTCATTTGGGAAAATGGTACTCCATTTTAAAGCAAAATAATCCACAAATTCATTTTAATAAATATTGAAATCATTCATCCATGACATAAGTGAGTAGTTTCAAACTTGGGTGGTCATATCAACAAATTCCAGCCCCTGTCCTGGAGACACTGGTCCAGCAAGTCTGGAACAGGGCCCAGGGACCTGCATTTGAACAAGATGCCCAGGTGACTCTAAGTTAGGAGGTCCTCAGACCACACACAGAGTATTAACGACATTAAGAAATGGGCCTACACCCTGTCTCAGGAGAAGCTGACTGTCCGGTTTCAGCCAGCGGAGAAAGGCTACGTACGTACCAGAGATGGGTTGTTCGGTTCCACACCATCTTGTGCTCCTGAAGCGTCAGCCGCTGAATCACCCCCTTGCAATTTTCCACAAACTGGCTGTTGAGCGTTTCTTTAACAGACCGAACAGCTCCTACATGGAAACCAATTATTTTATTTCTGAAGCACTGCTCTGCCCTTCCCTTTAGGTCATTTAAATTTTGTTTTTAGTTGGAGTTCATTTCACTAATCAAAATGGTGACAATATTATCAACGAAAGTGATGCTTTGTGGGTGCTCTTCCAAGCACAACACCAACCCTGTAAGGTAGACATTCTCTTAGAGATGGACAACAGAGGTTCAGAGAGGCTGGGCAGCCCCAAGGTCACACTGCAATACTCCAGGTCTTTCTGAGCCCCAAGTCCAAGTTCTGGACTACTGCCCCAAATATACACATATCAGCCAAGAACAAACTTTTAGAAGAGGAAGTTACTTTTCATTTTACCAATAAACAAACATACCTTCAATAACAGCATAAGGCACACATTTTCCTGGAGCTTCCGAAAGGATACTCTTTAAGTCTTCACCCAAGTGGATCCTTTTAGCTCCCTAAATGCAAACAACATATTAAATTGACTACTGAATACCGACCTGTTCAATCAAACTTAAAGGGCAAAAAAATAAAGACTATTTCCTTTTTTCATGTTGAAAGAATGAGGAAATCAGGCAGGAAGGAGACTATAGTAGATTCAGACTCCAAAGCTGTCTGAGAAGTTTCATCATACAAACAGGCATGAGGCCCTGCCTCCCTCCACCATCTACAGAACGGGGTGTCACATATATTCTTTTTTTTTTTAATATGTTTATTGATTTTTTAGAGAAAAGAGAGGGGAATAGACAGATAGAAACATTGATGAGAGAGACACATCAGTGATCAACTGCTTCCTGCACACTCCCTATTGGGGATCTAGCCCACAACCCGGGCATGTACCCTGACGGGGAACTGAACCATGACCTCTTAGTTCCTAGGTCAATGCTCAACCATTGAGCCACACCAACTGGGTATATCCTTTCTCCAGTTAATGGAAATATACACTCCTTTTCATCTTCGTTTTTAAATGAAACTTATGAATCAATCTGTATACCATAGGCTGAAAATATCTGAATCTCTTCTTGACAATACAGAACCAGACATCCAAAGGTTCATATGTAAAGCATCTAAAGTACATGGTAGGGGCTGGAGCACTGGTAGGCACCATTATCACCAGGCCTTTATGAACTCACGCCCTGTACACCATCATAAAAGGATGCCTTTGCTCTATAGGCAAGGGCATTATCACCAGGCCTTTATGAACTCACGCCCTGCATTGTACACCATCATAAAGGGATGCCTTTGCTCTATAGGCAAGGATCTGTTACCTGGTGCCAAACACTGTTCTATTTCAGTTTGTCTCTTCCCTTTCACAATCAGGTGCGCGTAGCGACATCTGCCGCCGTCTTCCTCCCACAACCACTAGTTCTCCCACCCCTTCCAATTCAGTTTCCCACCTGCTGTGCTTGGGAACCAAGCAAGCCTGTTACTGCTCTAGCAAAACTATGAAAAAAGTTATCAAATCAATAAACATTTCCTGAGCACCTATGTGCCAGGCACAGTGCTGGGCGCTAGGGATTCAGGGATGAATGAAGGACAATTTCCACTTTCACAGTATTCCCATCAACAAATCTTAAGGATGCCAGATAAGTTACCTCTAAAGAGGAGATGAGATACTGCATACATATTAAGGTCACTCTAAGATTAAGCTACTGCTACACAGTAAATGAGCAAGGTCAACACACACTTATTAACCACCTACTGTGAAGAAAATTTTTAAAATAATACCATAACGGCTAACACGGTGTATTGACTCGTTTTATTATTTGTCTTCCTCCATTGGACTATTAGACTCCAGGAAAGTTAGGGCCCTGCTTGTCTTGTTGACTGCTGTCCCCCTAGTGCTGAGAACGGAGCCTGACACATAGCAGGCACTCAATATGTATCTGATGAATACATATGCTCTTACATATGCTATAGCACTTTGCTAGGCACTTTAAGTCTATAAATCCGTTTAATGCATACACCATCCTTATACAGTAGACATTATTAACCTCAATTACAGATAAGAACACTGAGGCTCAGAGAGGGGAAGTGACTTGTCCCAAGTCACACAGCTGGTGAAGTATCCACCAGGAGATGGCCAGTTGGAATTTTTTTAAAGGGCTGGAAAAGGAGTGTGCTCAGAAAGACATGGGACTCAATCAAGCTTCAATGCATCTCCTGTGGCTTTGAGCAACTTAATTTACCTAAGTCTCGGTTTTCAAAAGTGTAAAAGATGGGCAGAATGACCTCACAGAATTTTTATGTGGATTATATGAATCTTAAGATGTAAAGAATCTAGCCCAGAGGCTGGCACATAGTAGGCATGCAATAAACATGCATTCCCATCACTATAAGAAATACACAGTGATAACACACAAACCTGACTGTACAAGTCCTGTAATCTAATCAAAAGAATAGAATCTAAAATATTAGGAGTCCCAAATCTTTTTACAAAAAGGGGCCATTTCATCCTCATTGAGGAACTAATTGGCAAAGCTTTGAAGGTCATCCAAAAATGGGTGCTGGGGAGTTCACTGTTTCAAAGAATCCCACATCAGGCCCATTCCTGATTTCTGAGTCAGGAAGTGAAGTATCAGTTATGCTCATAGCCAATCACTTCCAAAGTAATTTGGTTATTTAATTAGGCGAAGAACAGGGGAGCGGGAATCTCACTAGGACCCCATTCACACCACAGACTCCATTGTTTGGTAACTTGGTTCACTGCAGATAGATTCCAAAACTCCTCTCACAGTGGGAATTTCATACATTTGTTTCTAACACAATTAACACTATCAGAAAACAATCTGATAGAGAAGTTGGTAGGTTTAGGAATCCATCTTTCAAATAAATGTCCAATTAAACCCTAACTGTTGTAGTGTAAAAATATCAGCCAAAACAAATCCACGCTTATTGAGCATCTAATCAAGCACTGAATCAGAAGAAAGATAAGGGCCCTGTTTCCAACCTAATGAGGTCCATCTCTTTCTCGTGGGCCATTCACAGTACTACAATGTCCTCAATCAGAAAAAAAAGAAAAAAAAAATCCCACAAGTGGAACTAAAAGATCTAAGTTTCAGTTTCAGCCTGACTAACTGTAAGACCTTTCCTGTCCGCCCAACTTCCTGATTTGCAACCTGGAGGCAATTTTCACTTTATCTCGAAAATTACTGTGCAGGAAAAAAAAATAACAAGATGGGAATGTCTTATGTAAGCTGTAAAGTGGAGCTGAAGAGTGTTACTTTTAAAGTAACTTAAAATATTAAAAAAGGAAGTGTCTGGAGAAGCAAGGAGCTGAGGAGCTGCAGCTTCTGCACTTGCTGTTCCCTCTGCCTGAGCCGCGCTTCCCCAAGACATCTGCAGGTCCCCCTCACCTCCCCCCGGCTCTGTGCAAATGTCACCTATTTAAAACAGCAAACCTCCGTTTCTCCAGCATCCCCACCTGTCATACCGCCTGATCTGCTTGTCCACTGTCTGTCTCGGTTGTAGTAGAATGGAGCCTCCATGAGGGCAGGGGCTTTTGTCTGTTCTACCCAAGCGCTGTCCCCAGGGCATGCACTTAGATGTTCAATAAATATTTTGAATCAAGTATTGAAGCCAAGATGCATATTCTGAATCATGGGAGGGACTTGGCAGAAAAGGAGTCGTGAAGCAGTCACCCCAATACCCGAATTCTGGTCCTCGGTCCTCCATTTCCTGCCCCGGGGGACACCCTCCTGGGCCTATTTCCTCTTTGGGGGAGTTTCCGCCGGTGGACCGGCCCCAGGCGAACTGCGGGCTCACCATTACCGGAGCCAGAGAGGACCGGCGGGGGACAGCACTGACCTTGAGCTCTTGGGCGACCTGGGCCTTCTGCCGGTACACGGAGTACAGGACGGCGGTGACGACGGAGCTGGTGCCCAGGAGGATGAACTGGCCCAGCGAGGGCCGCCCTCCGTTCTCCATGGCTGCGCCGAACCCCGAGTGCGGGGGTGGGGGGGACAGCGAGGTCAGGCCCCGCGACCCCGGCCCGAAACTCTCCCTCCACCTCGCTCCCACCCGGGACCGCACCCCTCGCCCAGGAGACCTTTCCCGGAAACCCTTATCGGGTCGCCAAGCGATTTCGTAATCCACACCGGAAGTGGGGGGCGGGGAAAGAGCAGACCGGAAGGTGGTGTTGCCAGGGTGATGGCCGCGCAGCCACGGCGTCCCCAGGGGCGGGGCGTCCCGG